GGTTTGAGCCCGGCCGGACCGGGGCGATGCGGTCACGTTGGCTCATGGACACGGTCCTCAACTGCAGCTGCTGGAGGGCTCCTCATCTCATTGGAGAATGTCTGAAGGCGGTGCAGCTGCCAGCGGGTTGCGCACACCCTATCCCGCATCCTTAGGAAGGAGATGCCCCTTGCTGTAGCGCACATGTCTCTGCCAAATAACGGGTACTGGTTTGGCTTCTTCATCGCTCTTTTCTACTTGGAAAAAGAATGCACGGTTGTGTGTACTGTAATTTAAATAGATTTATGGATTTAAATAAGATTATAAAGATATCTGACATCCTTAGTTGAGTTGTACAACGCTGAAGTCAAGACCCTGCAATTATTTTCTTTATTTTTTAGAACGACGCTTCATTTCATCTTTTCTGGAATGGAGATTTCTTCTCACCAGTTTCACCTCTTGCAGCAACTAAATGAGCAGCGCAGGCAAGACTTGTTCTGTGACTGCAATATCCTGGTTGAGGGAAAGGTCTTTAAAGCACATCGCAATGTGCTGTTTGCCAGCAGCGGCTATTTCAAAATGCTCCTTTCGCAGAGCTCGAAGGAGACGACTCAGCCGACGACAGCTACTTTCCAGGCATTTTCTCCTGACACATTTACAGTTATTCTAGATTTTGTGTATTCAGGCAAACTGTCTCTCACTGGTCAGAATGTCATTGAAGTCATGTCGGCTGCTAGCTATCTGCAGATGACGGATGTTATCAGTGTGTGTAAAACGTTCATTAAGTCATCGCTGGACATCAGTGAAAAGGAGAAAGATCGTTACTTCAGTCTGTCAGACAAAGATGTAAATTCAAACGGTGTGGACCGATCCTGCTTGTACAGCACAGGCTGGAGGGCAGAAAGCAGCCCCCCGCATTCACACTTAAGTCCAGATCAAGGGACATGTATGATGGGTGGAAACACTTGGAGTAATTTCAGCTACTATCCGACTTCTCAAAGAAATGCCCAGCAACAGCTGTCCAAACACGAGCAAAGGCAGGATTCCATAAAGAAATCCCGGCACCTGGGACTGCAGCAACCTCCTGACATTCCTCACTATAAATCAAGCAAACTGGAGGACAGGGCGGCCGAGCCTGCTGGCCATATTGCTCAGTCTGAGGAGCAAGTTCAGATTGAAACAGAAGTTGAATCCCCTCATGTGGGATACCAGTACGGCCAAGGGTCTGACGTGATACCGAGGAGCTTGGCTGTGTCACAGCAGGAACATGAATCGCCCCGTTCTTCCAGTAAATCGAAGTCTTCAAAAGCAGATGAGCCGTACGCGAGCATGCCCTCAATTCTGGGTGTCATGGGAAGCTGGGCTGAAGGTAAGAGTTTAATGCTGTAGGTGCACCATCGTCTGTTAATTGTTCGGTGAGAAAATGGGCTTTACTGAACGAGTGTACAATTGCCAAAAAGACATCTGTGTTGTCCAGAAATGTAAGTTTGGAAAGTTTAACTCTTATTTTTTATAATTGAGAATGATTGAAGTACCTGGTTTATTAAAACTACCCTTTCAAAATACATAATCTTTAGTGTCTCTACAGCTTCATCTCACAAATTTAAGTCATGATCTTTTGGGATATTTTAAAATTCATTTTAACATAGCTAACGGTCCACTCCTCTTCCTTTGTTGCACTCCTGTGTAATTTACAGGAAAACACAAGATCTTTGTGCTTGAAAAGATCTATGATAGTATTTTTTCTAATAAAAGCGATTTACTATTCTGAGCATAGAAAATGTTTTCCTAGAGCATTACATGACTAGACATATTATGACTTAATTTTTTTTAATCGCATTAATTTCTAACAGATGATCTGCCCAGGATGAGATTCAAGTGCCCGTTCTGCACTCATGTGGTGAAAAGAAAAGCGGACCTAAAGCGTCACCTTCGCTGTCATACAGGAGAGCGCCCTTACCCTTGTGAGGCATGTGGGAAAAGATTTAGCAGGCTAGATCACCTAAGTAGCCATTTTCGAACAGTATGTATTTTTAGTAACTGCATGATTTGTTTAATGTGTAAATCTGTCTCAGTATAATTAAACACAGTACAAGTGTATCTGGTTGATATATTGACTGCTGTAAAGAAGAGGTAATAGAAAATTAATCTGGTTTTGTTGAAGTCAATTTGAAGCATAATTTGTATGAAAGGGGATGAATTTCTTTGTTAATTGGTGGCTTGCAAAGGTACTGCTCTATGCAAGTTCTGTAATAGAGCTTAAGTGGGCAATTACAGCACCTGTGACTGTTTGTTTCATTCTGAACATTTGATGACTGTCTCTTCAAATGAGTTAACAGTACCATTTGAGGCTACTCCAGCCCTTTTTTGTCATCTTAAAAAACCCACTTCTTTGTGGATACGTTATCAAATTTATTCATTTTGATTTCCCCAGATTCATCAGGCTTGTAAGCCTATCTGCAGAAAGTGCAAACGCCACGTGACTGAGCTAACAGGACAAGTGGTCCAAGAGGGGACAAGACGTTACAGACTCTGTAATGAGTGTTTGGCTGAAGCTGGCATAGACAGTATTCGCATTGACTTGGAGGCTGAAGCACCCCTTGAATTTCCACAAGATGGGGATAAGGATTCCAGGTGGCACTATGGGGAAGACAACAGATCTGATGTGGAGATTGTGGAGGATGGGTCAACCGACCTGGTCATTCAGCAAGTTGATGACAGTGAGGACGAAGCAGATGAAAAGGAAGTAAAACCAAATATTAGGTAGTTGCAAGAGAAGAATTAGGAATTCCATGTAAGGAGGAGAATGTACTGTCTTGACCATAAGCCCTCCACCAGCCTGTTGTTAATCGTACAGAGACGTCTTGGTTTCTCTTGAACAGGTCCAGACTTGCATGTATTTATGGACGTGCCATTGAGTTCATGCTGAGTTTTGTTATCAGAATACCCATACTTTGCTTCATTAGAAATAATCCATCCTTAAATAATGGATGAACAAGGAAACTGAAGTACTACATGGATAACTTTTTATAGTAGACAATGGGTCACTTCTCAAAACCTCTTTCATGGGAGTGAGGTGTCAATACTTTAAAAAAAAAAAGTCACACAGCACTGTAAGTTGCCCAATTTTTAAACTTGCAGAGATGTGGGGTTTATATGTTAATATCATCTGGCGATAAACAAAGTATAAACAGCCCAAACACCAGAATATAAGGAAAACCTCTCTTCAGTACTCAGAAATGAAGATAATCTTCCACAAAATTTCATGAAGTCTTTGTATTAAGATAAGGACAAAAGGCAGCTATTTAAGAAAAAGCATATAAAAATGTTTTAGCACATTCATCTGGAAAAGCACTTTCTTGTAAAATTTATTAGAAAAAGGAGAATCTTTAGCAGATCATGCGTTCAAGACCTATTTCTTTACAAGAAAATAAACACATGAATCCTAGTCCTAGTCAACACATCAGATATAAAATAATTACAAATATGGATCATTAATTGATGCCAGTAGATGTTTTATTCTTTATGAAAACTGGGAACTCAGAGTGGGCTATGCTTTAATAAGCACTACTAAAATACTCTTTTTTTTTTTTTTTTTTTTTTTTTTTTTTAAAACCTCTCCAAAGTGCCAGACTGATGTGAGTGGTAGCCCTGCATCTGCAGCATTGCCAATGGCAGTGTCAGCTTCTACCTGCCAACGTGAAGGGAACAATCCTTACAAGGTTACTTTAGCTGTTGTTTTCTCTCTCTTTGTCCCCCGTTTTGTTTGCCGATAGCAGTGGCAGAACAATTTGTACAGTATATATACGATATCATTAGAAATGCAACTGATGAGATTTTCCATCTGAAACCATTGACTACTCTTGTTTGTATTGACCTGTACTCAATTTAAACTGATGAGTTAAGATGGAAGCATCAATTTATATACTTCCAAAGTCATTTGGTCACCAAGAGAACATACTTTAAGCTTTTTCAGTCTGTACTGTATGCCAATGAGAACAAGATCTACTGGAAGTTCTAGATATCATATTTGTGTAATTTTACCAACAATTAGACTACAAGAGATGAGATGAAGAAAGTTTACTTCTATAGCAAAATAAGCCATTTTTTATTACTTAGTGAGTTTATCTTAACCAGGACTGTGAACAGGAGAGGAGCAGAAGTATGCTCCGGAGGTGCTTTTACTCTGTATTTTCATGGACAGTCCTGAGTATTAATACAGTCTTCATCCTGTGATCATTGAACTCAATGGGTATAGGCTTAGAAAACTTTTTTTTTTCCTTTTTTTACAACTTTGTAAGCATGTTTGGCTGAAACCCGGGATTAATTACAGAACAATCCCATATATATAGTATATAATCTCTTTCCCAGGGACAGCTAAAAAGTCACTATTTTATTTTTATTTGTGTAAAAACTGTATAGCCTTACTAGTATCATCATTACCAGAGTGTGCGGCATTTTTATTCCAGGGTGCAGATGGCCAGCCTACAAGTCTCTTAAATGAAAGCTCGAGCGCTTCCTACTAAGTTCACAGTGTAGGCATTAAGCACCCTTCCCCTCAAACGCGCAGGGCTGACAAGAGGCAGCCTGCTTCTATATTCTAAGGAGACAAGAACTGGTATTTTATTGCTCCTACAAAAATTATCTTCCATTGGTTTAGACTTGGGGAGGGGGGCAGAAGGGGAGAACTTACAAAACTTTCTGATGACCCATATGAAAACATCTTTTCCAAGCAAGACTTAAAATTGCCTCGATTTTATGTTACACTTTGGTCAGCAGTCCACAAAATGGACTTGATATGAAACAGCTGGTTAATTTCTTGGAGCTTATTACTCCTAAAATGCATATTATTAAATGGCTAAGAAATATTCCTGAGCAACCTTAACTAAATCAAATCTAGAACAAAGAAATATATAAAAGAATATGGAATGACTTTGGTCAAATTTCAAGAGAAAATGCTTGCTGAAACGCGCAATAAATTCTAGGTATCAGTGCCTGCTGTCCCAGAAGACAAAGTGGCTGGGATTAGTCTCTGTGTGTGTTTGGGGATGAATTAAGGGGAGGGGAAAATAAAGTGTCACTCTAGGCCTGGAATCTTAACTGCCAATGGTAAAGGTGAGACTATTAAGTATTTTGGTATGCTTGGGGGTATTTTTAGAAGCAAAGGGATTTTTGGATCAATACTCAATCTAATTAGGTATCGTAAATCTAAAAATACTGAGGACCAGATGCTTCAGAAAAAGATATGAAGTGGCTATAATGGGCAAATGGAACAATCTATCCATATTAAGACATTTACTTTTTAAATATAGGCAGATTAACTGTTGATTTGCCTGGCAAACAAAGGGTTTTGCCATTTTTATATGTTATTCTCAGTAGCATAACTAGATATCTGTAGTAATTTTTAAAGTATCTTATTAAGCTTGGAGTTTTAGCTCAAGACTGCAATTCCCACAGGTCAATTACATTTTGTATTTTAAAACAGTTACCATTTTTACATTTGTTGCCGTAATTTCAGTTGTTCCCTTATTTTTGTATTGCAAGACAAGATAAATGTTAAGTAAGTGCCTTATATTTTCTATGTCCTTCATTTTACATAGTCAGTCATATATTTTGCTTTTCTCTAAATGAAAGTAATCCTTTTTGTTTTCATCTCCTTGCATTGCCTCTGATGAGTGTCGTCTTCATACTCCTGTTAGGATCACGTACCGCTCATTAGCAGAAGTAACATTTTCCTTCTTCTGAAGGAGGAAAGCAAAGACCATATAGGGTTGTTCCCACAGAACTTAATTGACCTGCCAATAACTGATTTGAATATGTTGTTTTCTGAACTTTGCCAAGTCACAAGTAGGACACCCGATTTTATCTTTATATGCTAGAGACAGCTGTATAAAACTGTACTGAATTCTGCTACTATTGATCCATTCAGATTGTTTCTGTCCTGCCTCTGTACATCCAAATCACAGTCTGAGAGGTTTAAGTTGTAGTGCAGCATTGGGACACGCTGTTCAGAAATCAGCCTCAGAGATGGTCGTCCTTACAAGTGTTCAAGCCTTGGCTAGACAAAGCCATGGCTGATCTGATCTTGGTGCTGGCCTTCTTCCTGTGGGAGGTGGGACTAGAGACATTCACAGCTCCCCTAGGACCAACAGTTCTATGATTCTTCTCAAATTGTTTTTTGCCTTTTTATTTTTCCTTGTGCTTTCATCTTCTTCATGTTGCTTTGAATGCTCTTAGATACTACTTCTTAACGCATGTTTTGATTATTCATGGGTTTTCAATACATCATTCTCTTGTCACTTGCTTTTCCATTCCCCATTTCATCTGACTAACATTGCAGGGATGTCCACTTCAAGAGACATTCCTTTTTATACCTCTGCTTTCTGTTCAATCGTGGTGTCTTTGTCCTTTTCTCTCCTCTGTCCTTTGTCACTGAAAGCCTGCCTCTTTTCGCTTGGCTTGTGTTTATCATTTTGTTCACAAGTCACGGTCAAGAATGAAGACATAGATTCCTCATCCTCTGTTTAGTGTCTCACCTTTAACTATCCTTATTTTCTGGCAACTCCCTTGCCATCCTTTCAAAGGCTGAAAGACTGAATTAAAAAACATTTCTCTTTTCCCCCTTTTTAGGTATTTCTTACAGAATTCTACCTGCCACATAAACCTATGACTTGTGTGATACTTGATTAGTTTTCCTCCTTCACATCATATCCCATTTTTTTGTTTTCCATTAAATTATGTAAAATTCTGTATTTACTATCCCAAAAAATGACACTTGTCCTTATCTTAAAGGTTCAGCTGTTTGTTTTTTTCCCAAATTAATACAAAAACCCTCACAGACCCCAAAACACAACTTCAGAATGAATCTCCTTTTACAACCTTTTAGCATATATTCTATTCCAGTTCTAAAGTACTGAGATTTTAAAAAAAAAAATGCAAAAATATTGATTTATTGTGAGCTTTGAAAATATCTGTAAGCCCACTGATCTCTAGCAGAGGACTGACACTGCTACATGTGTCATCCTTCCTTTACTCCTGGCTCTTCAGAAGAAATACTCCACCCTCCAGGATTTTGGGACCCCTCTCAATTTTTCAACGATAACTTTGGGAAAAAAAAACCTCTCGATTGGATATAAAATTATTATGGAATATACTACGTTTCTTCCCTGAAGCATCTGGTCGCTGTCAGAGGTTATCCCATTATCTAGCCATGCCAATGTCTACCTTTCTTGTATTTTGGTCTCTTTGCAGAAATACTTGGCTTTGAACTTCAGATGGAGTAGACAGGGCCTAATAGCACTATATCTTCAGCCCCATTTATTATTTAAATGGACCTTGATTTAACTGAAAAATGTCTGACCTACCATCTGGCTACAGCCGAGTCACTGACTGTGCCCAGACCCACCTCTGACAATCATTAGTGTCTGTCAGCATAACCACAATACTATAGAGTTGAATGTCTAAAACCTTAACTGCTGAGGGCTAGCAGAGTTGAGATTTGCGTTAAGTGAGGATTACAGCTAAACCAAACTTGTTTAGTTGAATTTATCCTAAGAAAAAGGTTTATTCAAATTATATTTTAATTGAGGCCTTCAGGGTAAAGATAGCAGCAGTCAGACTGGAATAAGCACATGAATTTAGGGTTTACTTAATGAGGTTACAAATTCATAAGGAACTACTTCAGTGGACTGCTGAGGCCAGTATCTATGTGATGAGGCCAAGCTGACACTGGGGGACTTCTAACCATTCGCAAAGTAGAGAAATGTAAATTATAATCCCCAAAGCATCCAAGTAGTTAATTCTGTATTCCTTTTGTTTCTACATGAATAAGTACAGCAGAATTGTAAGAGTAGTTCAGTATCCTAGTACAAGCATTCCAACACTTTTTGTTTTTTCTGGAACATCTCAGGAAAGTCAGAAGTCAACTACAAGGTTACTATGAGTTGGAAGGCAACATATGCAAGAATGAAATAAT